CTGATCACTGTGCTCATATGTATAATTACTATTATATATTGTTCATTCTAACAAATAATTTTAAAAATTAATCTTAAATAAAATGTTTGTGTTTATTGTATATAAATTTTTTAATGATACAGTACCGGGACAAATAAAAAATGGAATTTACAGAATTACGAATTAAAGGTTTGTTGTATTAGATTTACCAGGTATAGAAACATGTTAGTATATATATGGGTGAGATTATGCTATAGTGAACTAAGTGTCACAAAATGTAAACAATACACAAATCATATAATAAGTTATCCAATTAATATCAATAGTTTTAATTTTAGGACATTTTAATTCTAATTGTTTAATATTACTATTATATTTAGCAGTAACGATAAAATACAACTTAATGTACAGAATATTCCGTAATTCCGATATCATATTCAATATTCTGTCATCAATTATATCCTTCATTTCAAGTGTTAAGTACTGAATGTTTGGAAACCACTTCACAATATCCGCGATTACTTTGTAATTGACATTAAAACGGAGCGTTAAATGTGTGATACGTTTCCATTGTTGACCGCAAGTGAAATCAAGTGGCGGTAAATCAAAGTAGTCATAAAAATGTCCCAAAACTTCCAAACGTGTCAATAGTTTATAGGACTTATGAATACAGTGTATAAGTTGTATGACTTCATTGCCATTAATTGGTATTCTGTTATAATAATGTGAAAAAATAAATGGACAGACGTTTTAAATACTTGGATTTGAGTCCAATTTGTGTGAAACCCTCCATAACTGCGGGAAAACAATTCATTTCATGGTTTGGGTTGAAGTCCAACAAAGGGTCCGATAAATGACCGAATCGTATGAATAGTTCTCGTAGTGATTGCAATTGAGATATGCCTGGTGATTTATGTAGAAGTTAGTAAGCATGCTTAAATCAATAATTTAATTACAAACCTGTCATTAATAATTTCAAATTGTATTCATCGTTAATATCTAAGGCGTTCACATCAAGTGATTTCAATACGTGTCCATAGTTTGCGACAAATACCGGGAAATCCTGGTTATAGTAAGCGGTGTAATAATTAATGCAAACTTTGTGTAGTTTTGGGAATAAAACACTTGGATTTGAAAGTAATTGCCAATCCGTAGGATCATTAGTTGGACTTATAATAAAATGTGTGATATTTTCACATAATTTAATTTTTTCATCGATTGCATTGAACAATTCATTTAATTCTGTATTAATTTCAACAAATTTCAATTGTTTTGAAAATTTATCGAAAAATGCATTAATAATATCGACACTAATAGCGTTTTGTATCCAAATGTTGATAGCATTTAAATGACAACAATATTTAATAATCAATTCAAACTGTTGTGTATTAAATAGCATGCATTCAATATGAATGTCCGTAATGTTGGGTAACTTTTTAAGCAATGACTCAAATGCGGATAAATTATTTGATACATGAAGAGTTAAATAATTATAAAATTTTGAATTAATAGTGAGTTTGGTTTGTGAAGTGTATATCAGTCGTTGCCATTGAGTGGACACACATTCAAATCGGAACCGATCTTCAAGTAATAGGAAAGACAACACATATTGACACAAATCGTCACCAAATCTGTCCAAAGAGTCTTTACTATAGATTTTAGACATAATTTCACAGAAACTACACTCAAATAAATTACATGTTTATCAATGGTATGAATGGATTTTTAACTTAACAAGAAACTAATATTGGATTATTCAAAATGTTTTAAATATCACATACACTTTAACACTCTATTCAATAGAGTCTATTGTGTGAACACATGGAGTGTTGGATATAGACAGTGTGACCAGATCGAAAATCCAAAATACTTGTATTTTTGAATAAGCTCTTCAAAAAATACTTGACAAGTTTTTTTTGTAAAATACAGTTAAACTATGTTTTACAATAGTTCTAATACTATTTAATATGACAATAACTTAAAATCATGCTCAACCAAGTTATTGAGTATGTTGTAAGTTAAGAAACTAAACTTAAGAATTTAAACCAAAAAATTTAACTAATTGGGAAAATATTTCTTTGAAAATTATTTTAGTTTTCTATAATTAAGTGCCATTTTTTCAATTAAAAATTTGATATTAATTGGTATTTTATTTTAAACACCACTACTTGTAAAATAAATTTCAAGTATTAATCTGGATAATAAAAGTTATTTCCCTATACTTTATTAATATAAAATCAATAGAACCTTAACCAAAAATTCATAATATCCTGTTTATAGATTACTTATCATAATAATTAATAATTAATATAAGAATAATAAAATATCAATATCAATTATTTTGCTATTTGGTCGCGATTTTACATAAATTCATTAATTATATGTAAAATAAAATACTTGAAATAATAATGTCAAGTATTACCCCTTGCCTTGTCACTTGACAAATACCCCAAATACTTGAATGTCAAGCCAAATACTTGGGATCTGGTCACACTGGATATAGACTGCTGTGTGTATGGGAATAGAGACCTCTTATATGGGCTAATGTGCAGTCATATAGAGTGGAGGCATACGTGACATTAGACTTGTGGACAAACACTGGGAATGTATTGAATGTTATGTCAAACTGCAGGCAATTAGTAATCGACACGTGTTTTACAGTAATTTTACACCAAAATGTGTCACAAACTATGTGACAAACAAGTAATAGTGTCGCAAATGTCAAAAGTAATTATTCAAACTAAACTAATAATCTTGAGTGTAGTGAAAATGAATTGAACAGTAATACTGTACTGTACTAATACACAGAGTATTGGAAATGTATTATTTGATTGATAAGAATATTTATTTATATTTCTCATTCATTTTAATATAATATTTCCCTCTATTGGAAAATTAACTATTTTTACATAATTTACAATTAAAATAAAACCTTCAATATTATGACAATCGATGATAAAGTATTTAATTAAATTATAAATCTATCGGAACTACAAATTAATAAACTTTTAGCAAAGACAACATAAATGTTTTTGATTATATTATAATTATGAAAAATGTCCTGTCTTTAGGTATTTGAAATTAATTATAAATAAATTACAGTATTTATATTAAATTTTCAATTAAACTAGGTATCAATATATAATTTATTTATTTTGAATAATGTAATATGTTAAATTAAATTATAGATTTAAAACTTATTTAGAAATTATATAAATTATATAAAATTTTATTTAATACATATTTTCTCAAATAGATTTTAATATTTTTTTTATAATAACTTTAATTATATGACCTGAATATGTACCATAAAATTATTTATAAGTAAAATACTTTTTAGTACTTATATACTGATTAATATATTGAAAATAAGATAATTATATGAGAGTGTAATTAGTGTTAATTAAACATCATGCATTTTCTAACATTAATTATTTAATCAATAATATTATGAAACAATTACTAAATGTAATAAAAGTACATTTTGTCATTATTTGTACTTTATACCAATGTCAAATCACTTACATTAGTATTATATTTTTAAAATTCAACCTAGCTAATAGTTACTGGTATTACTAGTATAACAATGAATATTACATTTCATAAATTGTATAAAATATTGTGCTTGCTAATAAGCTTGTTGGGGTGCGTTTACCAAACGTATAAAATAAGTGCATTATACTTTTCGTACGATACTACTACTAATGTTAAATATGAGCCAGGATATATCGGTGGATTGGCATCTCAACCGGCATTCACAATATGCATGGATAAGCTAAGCCTCATTAATCCAAGGGTTAAGCAAAAATTATTTGGATTACAATCAACTCAATATAAAAGTGATTATTTAAACAACATGACATTTGCGCAACAATTTACCTTGTTTGATACGAGCGAGTTCAAATTATACATTGAGTCTTACATTAATCAAACGTACGAATACAATGAATTTATAGCATCAATTAGCAAGGACAAATTTTGTATGACGTACTTTCCGGGTCGGACGCATGTTACCATTGGGTCAGGTTTATAATTAAATAATAACATGTTAAAATTATTTTAAAAATTCTTGTTTTATATAATTAAAAATATATATATTTAAATAATATAGATTAAAGTATTTAATTAAAAGTAAAAAACTTTAACTATTTCAGTAACCTCGTACCAATAATGTCTGATAATGATATGGCAAATATTAGATCTGTACTTTATCTACAGCCTACAAATAATTTTCTGTTTGATCAACGGACAATAAATCTGCATGTTCATTTACGTACTCAGCCCGTTTATGTAGCCAGTCGTAAAGGTAATTTAAAATTGGATCTGTTTCAAAATCGCGTAAATCACGTATCGTATAGAAATGTGATAGTTAAATATAATCATTTGGGTAATTGTTTTGACCATGGTGATAGCCGAGATTATTGCATTTTCCGTTGCATATCAAACGAGTATATTAATTCAAGTTCAGTCTTACACCCTGGTTATTTATGGTACAATTATAGCGCTGATCACGTGGTTAAAAATCTGAAGTTTAAACAAAACGTTAATAATGGTATCGATTCAAAATGTGCCCATAATTGCGATTATTATACCGATTGTATTAAGTCGTATTACATTAGTCAATACGCTTATAAAAATCACCTAAGTATGACAAAATACTTTTTATAACTCGGGATCATTGAATAAATACGCAAACTTTTACAAAAATTAACCCTAACACTAGATATAATTTATAATAAATTTTGTTGCGCACGCCTGATTTAGATAGACCCCACTCAATTTTACATACTTATTGAATGACCCTAATTATGTTTTGTTTAATTTGAAATAATTGTAAATTAGCTTAACTAACTTAGTAATCACTATATAAGATTATTATTTTTTAAATAATACTAATAATTATTCTGGTGATTACTATTAGCCATTGTTGTATAATTTTCAAATTATCTACTATACATAAATTTATTTGTTAACATTGTTCAAAAATATACATTTAAACAGCTATAAGAAGTCACTTTCCAATGGAGATTGACTTATCGACCGAACCGACCACTGTATACGAGATATCACTGAAAATGTCTGTCGAGGAGTACCTGTGCCTCACGGGAGGTGTACTCAGCCTATGGTTTGGGTTCTCTATTGTTATGTTTACAGAGTTTTGCGAACAAATTGTCATTAAATTAAAATCGAAAAATTATTTTAACAAAACTAATTACATAATGAATGTTAATGTCAATCACTATAGCAATCAGCAGAATCTAGCACATTTAAAATCGAAATCTGTTAAGACTTTGTTTCATAATTGATTTAATGTATCATGGTTGTGATTAATTTAATTTTACCAGATTAAATTATATTATAATAAGTTTATAGTTTTGTTAATTATGTAATGCATTTATATTTTGTATAATAAACAGGTACACTTTATTATAGTAATATTAATATTGTTATTTAGTAGTTTATAATAAAATATTATGAATTTATAATACTTGCATAGAAATAAATGTACTTGACAAATAGTTTAAAAATTGTATGTATTAAAAGTCATAATAAATAACTAATGGAAATATTTTATAAACTCATAACCATTTTAAAAATACTTATATTTGAATAATAAAAAACTATATGAGATAACAAAAAACAACGTGTCGTTCCCATTGCATGTCCGGTACTTATTGTGAGTGGACAGGCGTTTTCCGGTTTGAATAAACCCATTGTACTCAACAAAATTGCTTACATTTAATTGATTAACAAAAATCTGATAAAATTTTATATCAATTGTGATAATCCCTGTCCAGTCATGACCTACAAATTCATTGAGGGACAGGTGCTTGCTGTCATAATACTGACCACCATTATAGCCCTGACCTATCATACAAGTGCCAGTCCACCGGTTGATCCAGAAAAAGCACCGGTATCTACTACAGGTCCACATGACTGTCTACTTGATAGTGGCTCCGGTATGTATCAACTTTTAAATATTTAACTATTATTTAATATGATATTTATTTGCTATACAACTATAGATGTGGTTGATGCCCGTCCAATACCAGCACCTGTAGCCAGTACTTCATCTAATCATACTCAGCATACCGTTCCTCTAATTGGCTCATCAGGTCACAGCACAGGTATGTTTGCTAACAAATTCATAATTATCTTATCATGCTTATTCATAATAATTACTATACATAGTTACAGCATCGGTATCTACTTACACAGACACAGAATCCCTAAGCGATACCATCAGTCAACTGGAACTCCATGCTCTTATACTGAGGGAAAGGCTGTCGCAAATGGAACGGGAGTTGAGGGATACCCTCAAAGCCTACGGCCATAAGTCGCGACACTATAAGGAATTGGATGTAAAATACGAAAGAATTTTGAAAGACTTAATGTCAGCGGAAATGCAACTGTCAATGGCTCACAAGAATGAGGACTACCTTATGAATGACATACAGGCGCTCCGACTACTGGTGGATATGCTCCGGGTCGAGAACCTGGAGCTCAGGGCACCGGACGATGAAAGACTGGGAGGTATGGCAGCCATAGGTCCAGAATCACCGGAATATGACACCAGAATCCAAGCCCTGGAGTCACAGAATAGATGGCTTCGGGATCAGCTCCGGGATCGGGAACAGGTTATCACAAAATTACAGGTATGGTATGACCATAGATTCATATATTTATATCATAACTAATTAATTAAACTACAGGCGCAGCTCCAGGAGCTCATGTCTCACGAATCGGACACTGAATTGAATAGTCTGTCCCTTGAGTGTGAAATATCTACCGGTGCCAATGATCCCAGCCCTCGACTCGATTCACTCATACTAGAGGCCTATGGGACGACTACCGGTCGGGATATACCGCCATCACCTGTGCCTACTATAGTTGAATCTGCTAATGAGGGGACCGGTAGCCCTGTTACGGATGATGACAACGGCTTCATTGATAGTGATATATATTATGATGGCTTTGATTTGCTTTATGGCTTATGACTTAAAATTATTATACAGTTATAAAGTTTTGTAATAAATTTATTTTTGTATATTTTAGTCAAATTCTAGTCGTGTTTACTATTTGTGATTGTTTATTTATTTATACTTTAAGATTATTAATAATTTTTTTGTTTAGATTTCAAATTTTATGATTTTTGTAATGATATGTGTGCTGTATTATACACATGATAACTAAATTTTTATTATAATATTTACGATGATTTTTACTACTATACATATAATTGCCATAAGTAATACTAACCTAATAAACTTTTTTGTTTTAATACTAATGTTTATTATATTATACTAATTTATTATTATATAATTTTTCAAAACTTTGCAAAATTTTTACAATATATTATTCGACAATTTGTGTTGACTTAATAAAAATTTTAAAATTGTTAATTTTTGTAATTATTACAAATATGAGAATATGTCTCATCGTTTGATCCCGAAGTTAAAAATTTAAAATTTAATGATAAATTTATTTTTAAAATTCTACTTAATTACAGCTTCTCACACACACACACACACACACACACACACA